ATAGACGACGTGACAGCAGTGGGACAGGTAGGATTAGGGATGCGCTTGCCCAAATTGTTCATATGTTGAGAACGCCAACTGCGATACATGCTACGAATGAGGGTGGTGTACCCACAGTGGCACTTAATGAGATTCTTTCACCTCCGGTTATATCCTCATCCGAGGACGACGACCAAGAGACGATACGTCGGATGTACAATCGATTTTCTGAAGTGATACAGATGCATCGTAAGGCTGTCCCCGAAATTACTTTTCAAACGATGTCAATAAAGTCTGCCGAGTGCATGTGGGATTTATACGGATACACGATATCCTGCATCGAAATAAATCAACGAGGTCTTGGTAATACAAATAGTGAAGGGATTACAGGGTTAACGTTGGTTGATGGTATCAACGCACAAATGTTGACACTTCTTAGAGTTTTATCGGAAACGATACTCACATACATCAGCACAATGTTGATCGGTCAACGTGGCGAGTTGGGGCTAAAACAAATGTCTTCGCACAGAATACAACAGATATTTTATGGACATCCAGTGTTTCAACCGGAGCGCCCTGTACAAAGTCTGATATCGGGTCCTGTCGCGGATCCTTCAAGAAAAGTCAATGGGATAATTGGCCCCACCTTCCAGTTCACCAAGATTAAACCTCTGTTACTCGAAGATCCCTTTTTGGTGCTCGTCGAGATTAGTATGTTCACAGCCTCCGCCGCGGATTACGAAATCTATCACGTGATGCGTTTACTATTTACGGCCGAAATAGTCAAGGCTATCATCTCGGTGGTTGAGTCCACATCAAGCGAAGGACTTAATTCCTGGAAAACAGATCGACGAATCGAAAGGAATTATATCACCAGTTCATCATTCTCCGAACCACAATCAATACGAGATTTCGTTATATGGTTATTACGGCAAGTTGGAAATAACGAAAATGATACCTTAAAATTTTTCGATGAGGTTGAAGAGTCGACTTTTTTGAAAATGATTCGATCATTCTGTTTGCCATATCTGAGAAAATGTGTCATTCTATTGCATTCAAGATATGGCGTCGTGTTTCCCCTCAATCTATTGGACAATGTTGGTTCAGAGAAATCTGAATTTTTGAGGTTATCCAAGTTGCTTGGGCTCCCATCATTGGAGCAAATCTGTTCATTAAGTGGTGATACCACCGCAGGCGACATGACCATATTAGCGATTATCGCAGGATGGTGTCACCATCTGTACGCCCTTCGACGGGAACCGTTGCCACCAACTAATTCATCGGGAGATCCCAGCGACATCAGCGTGGATAATGGATTTTGCGTATCAAGCGGAGTTTCTTCTTATACCTCGCATCAAGACATAATCATCAGGATGAATCATCCAGCAATATTTGAATTAGTCGCATTGCCAAAAAAATTGGTGGACTTGTTCGAAGAGAGTCTGAAGAAAGCTTGCAAGAAATGTAAGACTATACCTCATGAATCCGCCTTGTGTCTACTTTGTGGGGATTTTGTATGCTACCAAAGTCATTGTTGTCAGGAGCAAGATAAGGGGGAATGTAATGTACATGCGAAGAGGTCAGAGCCTGCTTTTAATTTTTTTTTTCCTCATTTATTATAAAATAATTCATTTCAAAATGTTTTATTTTACGCAATTTTACATAGTTGCGGCGGTAACATAGGAATTTATCTGCTTGTCAAAAAATGCGCGATTCTTTTACTTCACCTTGACAACGGATGTTTCATGAATGCGCCATACCTCGACATTCACGGTGAAGTTGACTTGGGATTAAAGTCGGTATTTCATTACGAACACGTTCTCATTTTCCCATCCACGTTGAATCATCGTGTTGGCCGATAATTTCATCTTCTTTTTTCTTTTTTTTTTGCAGACGCGGCCGTCCTCAACACATCAGTCAGAAGCGATATGACGAAGTCCGAAAATTGTGGTTGACGCATGGTATACCAATACATGTTGCAAGAAAAATTGAGCAGACATTTGATTTTGGAGGTTGGACCACTATGTAAAATAAAAG